TATTTCATATGCAACCATACAGAGGCTATCCCATTTTCTGTATACATCTTACTGCTCAAGCAGAACAATAAAACAGTTGAATGAGCACGAAGTATAAAATGAGAATGTAAAATAAGGCAAGCATGATAAAAGCATTAGGCTTAGTAGGCTTTCACTAGAAAAACAGACTTTTCTGTCAAGTTTCCTTGGAAACTTTTAACAAACATATTGCAAAAGAGAAAAATGAACTTAACTATGGTAAACAAATTCCTTCCTTCAAGGCACTGTTGCATAATCTACAATGTCAATTTGAAAATAATTCAGGAAGTCAGTTGATAGAAATATTAACAAGTAAGAATAAAAAAAATCTTCAGTTAAATAAAAGGCTGAGTGGAAAACCAAGTTAGATTAAGCTTCTGTATGGAAGAAAAAATTTTGTCTAAGACAGCAATCATTCCAAATCTAAGTCTTATGAAATGAAACTACAAAATTAACTTTGTTATGAACTGCAAATTGAGATGTCCCAGAAGTTTTAGTAACAAGTTGTAAAGTTTGGAATTTGGTTTTTTTCCGTACAGAATTGTTTAGTGTATTATATATGCATGTTCTGGCATTAAAGTAACAAGAATGCAAAACTCTTTAAAACCAGTGAAGAGAAAATATTTCAAGGATATAACTTCCACTTCTCATATCAAATGGCTTTGTGTTTTCACCTGTGCAAGTGCTTAGCAATGGCAGATTGTTTTCAGTCACTGTACAGAACTTGCTTCACAAATACTCTGAATGGCACAGCTAAAAAAAAAAATGTTTTCTTTTACAGATCTGCAGTCTTTATCTTCCCTGTACATATTAATTGCAAGTCACCTGAGCTCCTCCTGTCTCTTCTACAGGACCCCTGTGGAATACCTCAAGGTCCATCCCATGTCCCTACAACCATTCTCAACTAGTTTCTTCCTCACTCATTTCCCCTCCCTATTTTTGAGGAGCTCCCAGCTAGAACTGCAGCATGTGGCTAATTGGGGTCAGCCTGCATGTGCTGGGTAGCTCAACACCTGGAGTACCACTCAACTAAAAAACCCTTTACACTGAAGACACCAAACAGTTTCTAATTTTAATTGTTCAGCAATCAGTGTTCAAGTTTTGAGGGTGAACTTAAAGGCAGAATATAAATCTCATTTTTCTTTGGCCAAAAAATAGAGGCACATGGATGCTAACTTCAGTATCAAAATCAGTACTGATGGGTTCTCCCTCTCTTCAAGATTGTGCATGTCAGGTGACCTGTACCTAGACAATTATCTCACCCCACCCTTGGGTAATTCTTAGGTCTCCACCCTCAAGAAATATTCATGCAGTTCTATCTGAGCTTACAGTTGGAAACTCTTCTAATAACTGTCAATCTTCACTAGGAATCTGGCCTCACAGCTGCTTGTGTCTACTTGGGATCTGTGGAAAGGAAGTATTTCCAGTGACTGGTTTGAAGCATTAAGAAACAGTCCTTCAGGATTCTTTTGCAAGCATTAATAGTTTCCTCTAAGAAATGGATAAAGCTTTTGTTGGTAAAGAAACCAGTAACATTACTTCTTGCAAGAGGTGATAAGTCAGTTATTACAGATGAATGTTTGACATTCAAACTAATTTTGTGGATCCTTACACTTGGCGCTAACTGCTGTTGAAAGAAAATATCTGCAGAATTGTTTTGGCTCTCATTTGACATAGCTTTGCTTGAATGAGGTAAAAAAAAAAAAAATTGTTGGCAATAGGGTTTGGGGGTTGTTTTCTTTCTAAGGTTGCAAATTTTTATTCTGTTGAAGGCTGTGTTTGCATAGTAAGACAACTGCAGAAGGAATGTTTTGAACATACATACCATGTATTTATCATAAAATACACTTTTCTAGGTTTCCAGAGCTTCCTAGAGAATACCTAGACAAAGAAGTTATGTTTGAAGATATGACCATTAATTACACCATTTATTAAATAATTATAATTTAGTAGTATTATTCCTCTCTGCAAAGGAACCAAAGAAGGTTTGAACCTAGGCAGACATGAAGAATAAAACCACTTCAGACAAAAAAAAAAAACAAAACACACTACCTGCCAACCTAAAAATAAACATCAAACCCCTTTGCAGACATGACAAGCAGAACAGGCTAGAGGCAAGTTAAGACAAGAACTTACAGCAGCCAATTTGATCAAATTCTTACAGTCCTGGTAGCAGGAACACATACCATAGATCTAAAAATCCATGCTTAGTCCATGTTCTCTGGTTCAGCGCAGCCATTTTTTGCTAACACTAAAAAAAGTATTATGCAGTTTGCCTATGTTGGCCAAGACTTCACACCACAATTTCAGGATCATAGAGGAATGTGCAGTTAAGGTAGAAAGAAGTTATCATTTCTGATTAAGTGGTGGGCTTTTTTTTTCCAGCTAGATCCTAGCCTCTTTTTGTTGCAAAATATTAATTCTGCTTTATTCAAAATCTAATTCTTAAATCTATAAAGAAAGCTTATTTTTTTACTATTGCATTTCCTATGAAAATAATATTTTCTACCACAACAGTTTTGAATATAGAGAAGTCTTTTTAAACTGCAAACATTTCCTTGCTACAACAAAAATGTTGTTATTTCAATGATAAATTCATATAAAAATCTGTAAAAGCATTCTGGTTTTTATAGTGCATAGAAACTCCAAGGTAAAATACAATAAATGTATCTTAGCAAGGGAAATCTGTATCAGTGTTCAGCCCTTACAGTCAATCACTTAAGGCTTATATGCTTCCCACTGTTGATTTGGACTAACTTGGAGCTGTCAAAGCTGCAAAATAAACTATGAAAACCTAATAAAGCATAGATCAGACTGGATTTTATCCAACATCCTCCAACAAAATTGTCAATTCTAGGTTGTGATATTTTCAAACCCAGAGAACAATAAAGTAGAAAAAATAGGATGTATTGCAAGAACCATACAGGCGTACTTGTGAAATTTCTGTGTAAACAATTATCACAAAACTGGCTTTGCAGCTGTCAGATCCTGCAGTAATTTGTGCAAATAAGGAATTTTTTCAGTTATATTCTGACATGGTACTGTATCCCCTTTGTTTCTCAACTGTTCTGAAATACTGCTGGAATACCTGATCTCTACAGTATCTCTTCAGCCTATTTAGAATTACATTATAGCAGCACAGACATCAGGCAGGACATCTTAAAAATTAATATCTTAAGTATTCAGAATATACATCGTTCTCATTTAAATGAAGCTAAAAAAGTTAGAATGAAGACATTTTACTGTTCAGAGGGAACTGCAAAACCATTAATGTTTCATTTAAATCATGATAAATATTTCCCTTTGACCACTTCTTTGGTTAAAGTAGCTGTGTCACATTTGCTTCATCTGCCAGCAAAAGGCATTTTCTTTGGTGGAAATACTTTTTTTGATCTTAAAAGTCCAGTTTTATAACACTTAAATAACAGGCCTACTCTATATTACTTACATCCTATATTCAGTGAATGCAAGGCTAGTTCCAGTTTAGCACAAAAATCAGTTTAGTTATAAACCAGGAGGTCTGATCATGTAAAAACTGCCTTTCAGCACTGAAGCAACAAACAGTGTTACCAACAGCAAAGGTCTAAATGCAGTATATCAGAATACTTTATCATCTGTATAAAATGAGCAGTTTTGCAGCTATTTTAAGCGCATCTTATTTCTTGTAAGTGTAGAGTTTAGTTTGAGCAGAGCAGATGTTTAAAATGCATGGCTGCATACATCTTCTGTAGCTTTGTGATGATTTCCACTTCTGTTGGCTTAAATATCCTGAACTGAAAAAGAATAAACACATTTTCTTATAACTGAATATTTTGCTGCTTACTATTTTCCTGTATTTGTTTGAAAGTGAACTTCATTCCAGTATATATTTCACAATTTTTTTCAATGGTGCAATTTGCAAATCCAAATCCTTAGTGAGTCACTGAGTGTCATGGGCCAAAAGGACTTTACAAGAATGGGACCTTAGATCTCATATAGGGTAAATCCTTAGGACCCTAACTCACAGAAATCAACAGGTACAATAATGTGCAGGAAAGAGGAGACAATATACTCTTCAAAAATATTTGTTCATGATTGTTCTCTGATTTGTTACCCTTTATATGAATTTTACCTGACACTTCTCTGTTCTTTAAAACAGAAGGGTCTGGAAACAATCTTCCTTTAGGTAGATGGTGTGTGATGAGTAAGATCAGTTCCAGCAGTGACAAGAGTGCAAAGTCACTCACAGCTCTCAACTTGAGATGCAGAATGGGAATAAGGGGAAATAGCCAGAGTGTGTAGGATTGGTCCTCAGACAGACCACCCTCTGACAATCATTTCCAATAAATGTAAGTAGAAGCAGCCCATAATTAGACTGTAAAGAGGGCAGAGAATGCAGGGAAGTTCAAGATATAACTTCTGCAGGGCTACATATCCCCCTCTTCCTTCTTCTGTCACTTATCCTTTCATTCACCATCTATTAAGCTCTCTTTCCTTTCCTAGACTACTACAATCCCTCGTCTCCTATCTCTGGTGCTGTCACATTCCCTACTTGCTATTACACTTGCACACTTCCTCCACAAGCTTACTTGACACCCAAAAGTGTGAAAAGCCTGAAAGAGCAGGATTTGGGACGTATCAGTGGTTCTCGTGCATGTCTGCACCTACCCTGGCACTGGCAGAAATGTTTCATGATCAGGAGCCAAGTGATTAAGGTGGTAAAACTGGGTCCTATTTTCATGACTGCACAGGTGAACAGAACTATGAAACCACAATGATGACGGCAACATCAATGATTCAAAAGGTTCTGGGCAAACTTTCTTGCTGATATTACATCATGAATGGCTATGCATTTGTTTCTATAAACAACAGTTCTATTATGTTCCCACATTTGAAAAAAAAAAAAAAGACTGGGAAGGCACAGTAGATTTCCTTGTCTATATGCTGCTCAAGAGAAAAGTAAACTCTAGGCTGTTTTGACACTTACCTTTTTAGAAACCAAATTAGACTTTTCTGTGCCTAGCACTACTGTTTTCCAGACCGTTGCTTTCTTCTGATTTACTGTAAGAAAGAGAATAAATTCCAAAACTCAACATTTAAGTTTAGCATGAGCACTGTCCTTCCAGTCCCACAATCCAGTCAGAGTACCTTTAATGTGTATTTGATTTTCTCTTTTAGCACATGAAGTTATAAGAAAAGAAGATTAAATTAAATTTAAGCAACTAAAGCACTAGCTCTTGAAGCCTTTCAGACAAGTAGTAAAAGCTTAGATCAGTCCCCCTCAAAAAAATCCCACGAAGTTCTGGGCAGAAGTTACAGCAGTATTCCAATAAATGATTGATGTACTGTAATTATATTAAAATTCTTTACACTGTATGAGAAGTGTATGCTCAAATAAACAAGCAATATACAGCTCAACATGTCAGAACATGGGCTGAAATAGTCATATGATTGGTCCTTCTGGAGTATCTACAAACTATATGGTACTGGTCACAATCAAGACTTGAATTAAGTTCTCCAGCTAAAAAAAAAAGTTCTGTTTTTTCTGAATCACTAGCCTTCCACCTAACACACTGTTGGATGTGACATTTTGTATTATAGCCTCATCTGCTAAGTTCAGTTGTATATTAGTCATCACTTGAACTAACAGAGAAGAAAAGTTCCTATGGAGCCATTCTCTCTGGTACACAAATCTATCATCTAAACAGCCAGTAGTTGAAATAACATTCAGTTATTAAAATCAGGTAAGAAGTATACAGTTTAATAGATTTCCTTACATGACTTATCTAAGATAGAACACCAAAGATCAAGCAGCTGATCAAAACCACATCCCATCAAGCATGAAAACATTTTCGCACACTATGCTACATTGCATTCCTACTAGAATACAGTTTCAGCATGTTTATGGGAAGCATGGCTGTGCAACAAGGGCAATTACTCAATTTTCAACCCAAGATAACTCCCCAAACACTCAGCAGAATAATAGCATAATATATTCCCAAGACATAACCCCACTATATAGTATAATTGAATCACAGCTTTAAAGCTGTTTAGATAAGGGAAAAAGCACTAAAATATATTTTCAGCTAACACTGGAAAAAGAAATGGGAAAGTGAACACAGAAGGAAACAAGGTCACTGCAGACAGAAATTCAAAAAGGGAAAGACAGTGCTACTCAGAGTACAAAAAACGAGGATAAACATAGGAGGAGAGAAGGGACTGAGGGGGAGAAGCTGGAGCACATTGGGAAAATCTGAAAAGAGAATCTGCCAGGCTTCATTTTAAAAAAAAAGGAAAGTTAGATCAAATGAACTGACTTAGCGTCAGAAGGATGGGCAGAGTGAGACAAGCATTGGTTATTTTAGCAAGCAAGCCTTCAGAAATGCATTATCCTAAGGAGGTGGGGAGTCAGCACAGAAGCACCAACCCTAAAGCAGCAAAACAGCAACAGGAGTGCCTGCACCTGCTCCTTTGGCTCCAGTAGTGCAGCTGTTCCTGTGCCCAAGAAGCCCAAGCCAGCAGCACACTGGAGTTACCACTAAAGTGGTCAAAAACATGAGCTCCTAAGACTCCATCAGCTAGAGGCTTACCTAGAAGAGTAAGGGCTTTGACCATATTCAGGTGAGAGGAATATATGTTAATATGGACAACTAAAATACATGAGGAAAATTTCAAAGCCTCTTTTGAAAAATTTTCACTGATAGTGATTTTCCTCCATTATAGCCTCTCATAATGAGTTTATAATGAGGACACATGGTGCTCTAACAAAAAAAGTGAAATATCTTCCAAACACTGAAACCAACTGCCAGGTAGAAAATAGCATTCTGCACACTCTGGAATTAGGAAGTCTTAAGGAAAGTAATAAGCTGTACTTTCACATTCACCATTAAGCCTTACCAGATGGGTCAACAAGGTATAATTTTATAAAGCACTATAATAAGCAAAAAAGCAAGCATTTATCTCTAGTATACAAATTTTTTACTTACAGTTGCTCAACTTGGTCTAATTCTTTTTCATCTTCTGCATAACAGAAAAGGGATTATATAAGGTCTCTATTTAACAAACACTAAGTTTTGTTTAATTGTTTGGATTAGAGTAAATAATGCAAACATTTTTCATTGTATTAGTTTTCTTAAATTTGTAATTCAAATCATCTTGTTCCTCTGTTCAATGGAATTACCTGCATATTGGTCAAAAAGCTCACTTCTACCAATCTTATTTTAATATATATCAGGTTATATAATATACACATATGTATAAGCTAAAAGACAATACATCTATGAATACGTGTATAATATAGACATACACAGATTTTATATACCTAGTTCCTTTTCATCTTTCACATCTAGTTTGGTTTACCCTCACCTATGTGTGCCTTAGGTTCAGCAACAGTGAGTTCTGTCTTAATACATTTCCTTCTTACTCAATTTCTTGACAGAAATTTATGCCATGAAGACTGTTCACAGTTGCTTCCATTCCTAAGCACTCCCAAAAGAAGTATACCTCTAAATTCCTTTGTCATGTAAGGTAAAAAAAAAAAATAAGGACTGTATAAAACCATTTATGGAAAGTATTGCTTATAGAAATCACTTTGTACGTGAGTTCAGGACTCCTGGGAGAGATTTAATCTAAGATAGTGCAGTGTCCTAGGAGAATGTATTTTTATCATAAAAAAAGAGATAGGAAAATCACACTGAAGTTCATAAATGAAGTGCAATGGGTCTGTCATACCTTTCTAACTTTGGCCACAATTTCAATGTCAAGCTAGAAAATACTAATAAAAGACTTACCTGCACATTTCTCTTCCCTTTTTGTATATAGCTCATAGAGGAAAATGATAGTTACTAAAATAATAGCTTCAGCCATAATGGCTAGAAAGGGTTTGAGAGGCACCAGAAGAGACAAAACCTTGAGCTTCAGCTTTCCTACACTTTTCCCTAACTCAAAAGCAGCTTCACACCAATATACACCATCATCTTCCTTGGTGATCTTCAATATCTTCAGATGGGTTACATTGGCAGATATGGTATTAATGACATACTTGTCTGCCAGCAAAGAGCCATTAATGGCAATCTGAAAATAAAAAAAAAATACAAGCCTTATTAATGCAAAGATAGTGTTTAATCAAATTATCCTATAAACACAACTCTAAACAAAGATGTTAAATGAGTTAAGAAAAAGTGGCATTTGCGAAGTATGTTTAGTCCACCTCTAAGGGAAGGATTTATCTCAGCTGCCGCCCTGGTTCCCTTTACATTCAGCGCAAGAAGATAGGCACTTTCAGTAAGCAAGCTGTCTGACCTGATTTAGTCTCAGATCAGATGAAAGGTACCCTTGACTACTGAATCTCCACTGACAAGGCAGCCTCATGTGTCAGGATCTAGTGTCCAGGTTTCACCATGGCACAAAGCACACCCTTTCAAGCAAGCTGAACTGGAAATGCTGCTGAACTGGAAAATATGGTGATAGTCTCATAAGTCAGTGCTACTCTCAGCAGTCTAAAGGAGACAGGGCTATTCACCTCCTGTCAGTTGACAGTGCTTTCCCTAGAAAAGGGCTAGAACTAAGTGGTTTTGCTTCCAAGGTTAAGGGGGATCCTGAAAGGTGGGTGTGTGAAGGACACTGCTGAGCAAGATTTTTTTCCTCACAATGTTTAAGGCAAGAGCTGAAGCAAGGAGAGATTTCATCTCACTGAGAATCAAGTGGCACAACAGTCTCCACCACAGGATGGCTTCCTTCAGGTCCAGTCCCATAAGAGGTCATACTATCTGGGAAATCCAGAATATAACTGTCCCTGGAGGAGAAGGAACACACTCCTGTTCTCCCTCCAGTCTCCAATACCTTATGTGTCTTTAACGGCATGTCCTGCCAGGATCAGACTCTTTTGGTATCAAGTAGTAAGATCGGAGCAATATAACCACATAATAAAAACAGTATCTGAAGTCTAGTCTGATATACTTTACATCCCAGATAGGATAAAGCACAGCAAGGACTTTTTTTTGAAAAGAAACATTAAACAAATCAGAGCAAAACCTACATTCCTCCTGTAACAATGAATCCTTAAAGTTACTGTAAATCTCTGTGTATGGAAAAAGTCTGATACTTTTAAGTAGAAATGCAGCTTGCATACCCTACAATAAGAAATCACCATTCTTTACAAAGTGTCTGTACTCGAGCTTTGCCACAATGTTTTGCTTGGCCAACAGATGGAAACCTTACCTGTTCACTTCCATTGGTCATGTACCAGGTCCAGGCAATGGGAGTATAGCCAGGACTTTTACAGATCATTACAATGATGTCCCCTTCATAACTGATTATGGGTTTTTCTTTTCCTTCAACTTTTGGTACTAAGAACAAGTAGGAAAAAGTTAATCAAGTGAGAGCTACAGGTTTTAATTATAGTATTACAAAAAGTTAAAATATATTTAGGTATTAACTTATAGTAGTTTAGTCACTTTCCCTTAAAAACCACAGATGATTCTATCATTTATGACATGACATAAACAGTCATTTCAAGGTAATATTCCATATGCAGAATTTGTGCAGAAGTCTACAGGAATCCTGTTCTCAGTAACAGTATGATCTTAAAAGTTTCCACTTACTACTGAAAACCAAGTGATAATCAGATGGATTTCTATCTTTGCCCATTTCCTCTTTTCACTCCTTGACAGCTGCGAGCTACCCGCTTCAGTTCTAGTACACTAATTTCTCTGCAGCATCACTCAATCTGAAACGCTGATAGAATCCTATTCCAGCCATAATGCTACCACGAAATGGTATATGGCAAGTTGTCTTAATTACAAAAAAAGTTCTCTGCATGCACAGAACTGCAGATTGATGGACCTTTGTACTTACAAACATTTTCTGAGCTAAAGCAATAACTTTTAGGTCCATGCCAATAAAAAGGACTTTTGTTCCAATCTTGCTAAGAACAGAAGAAACATATCAGGCCATAAGAAACAAATCAGTTTATAACTTCAGAGCTACTTGTCTCAGCCATTATAACTGCAGATGCCCCACAGCTTTCCAAAAGCAAAAGCCTAAAAAAGGCTGTTGAATGTAGCAAGGCATCCCACAGATATAGATAGAGCTGAGCAAATATATCGTGCCAAAGTATTTCCCCTTCCCCCTTCTTTCCCTCTTTACTAGAATGTTTGTCAGTCTGTTTCTCAGATACATTCATTTTAAGTTTTACTTCATGTTTCTTTGGTCTATCTTGTCAGTACAGATCCAGTACATCTTTTAAATTGTATCAGTCACACTAGATTGTATCAGTCACACTAGATTGAACACACCAAGAATTTGCTTTCACCAGCTGTCATTGAACAACTTGGTATAAAGTAAGATAGTTCTTGTTCCCTCCATTTCTTGACTGGCTGAGCACAAACTAATTGCCCTGAAAAGCTGATTTCTCATGAGTATTCAAACTTAAATTTCCATTGCAGAAATACATATGTAATCAATTTGTTAATAAGAAAACTGCTTACAGCCTCAGAGTTTGCTGTAGCACATCAATCCAGCCTCACTGCTAGTGAATTCTTTCATGTCATATGTTTTCTATTAATCATTAAATGTAGTGGCAGAATATCATCACTGCTGTCACTAAAAGGGACAAGTTTATGAATAAATGCTGCCACCTCTTTTGCAATTTAAAGATTAAAAAAACGTATTGGGAAAAAAAGAATGAGACATGAAAACAAAAATATCCTTAAGCTCAGCACAACAGGTTTACATGAAAGTCAAAGGATTTAGCTACAGGTCTACCAGAAATACATGACCATATTGGCCATGATTAAAGACATGAATATTCATCGTAAGTTCTGGGATCTGGCTCTAGCAGAAGAGTTAATCCTTGAATGCAAGCAAGAAATATGCTTTGTCCCAGGTATTTTTGCAAGTAGATCACACAGGATTTGGTCATAAGACACTGCTGCTGCACAGAAAAAAAAAAAAAAACACACACAAAATACTGCTGAAGAGATGAACAGATAGGTGACCACACAAGCATTTATACCAGTGAGATTTCCACACTGATTAAAGACCAGTAGTTTCATAGTGCATGTATCTAGACAGCTGATTAAGTATCCCTGAACAAAGGGCAAACACAAATCAATGTATTCGTAAGATGAGTCTTTAATATAGTTATTAAAACACTTTATACCATTTAAAAATACCCACAAATGGTCTCTATATTTAATAATTTGAACTTCCTTTATGCATCTCTTATCTTGTGCAGACCTAGGTAAAAGCATAACTCCTTAAAACCTGTAGGGTTATTCCAAGGCAGGATGAGAGGGAAGGGGAAAGGGGTAATGCATCCAATAATGCTTAACTGCTTAGTGGAAAAGCTACTGCAAGTAGTTACAGCAGTGATGACTTTAGCTATTGAGTCTATACCAGCACATTACTCATCTTTCAGTTTAAGAATTGTCTCTGCATTATTGACTGGAAGATTCAAGGACTTCTCCTTCCCATTTCCTTCACTCTTGCATTAATCTCAAAATGTGTCAAGGCAGCACTTCTTATGGCATCAGAAGTGGCAGCACTCAACCATTGTGAAGCAATTCTCCCATCTTATAATACATCAACCAGTCCTATGCACTGTTCTGGAAAAGATGACTTCCCTGTTGAGTCATTCTGCCCTTACTGAAATAGTTACTGTGTACTTTCAAAAGAATAAGATGTCCTTAGACATCTTTAATCTACAACAGACTTGGGTAGCTATTCAACTAAGCCTTGCCAAAATGTTGACAAGAAAAATAGTCATTTTCAGAGATTAAAAGGTCTGAATAAAACACAATTTTGTCTTTTTTTTCCCAGTATTGCAGGCTAGTTGCCCCTGGCTGAATGCTTTTGGTTTCCTCAAGTGACTAGATATCCCACTGAACAAAGGCAGCTTGCAGCACTAGGAATTACTAGTTAGTTCAGGTGAGGTTAGGATAGTTATTTGAAGAGTTAAGTGTTTTTAGGAGCCTGCATTAAGGGAGAATCTTTCCTATATATGACAGTTTGTGGAGCTTTCACGGCTCCAATGCTTCCTTTTGTCTTTGCAAAATTTAGGTGGTGGGAACAGTGGATGAAAGAGTGCTCACTGGAGAAGAAGGTTCCCACCAGCTTCTATGTTTCATTTCTACATGTCTTCCATTCAACTGTATTTTGCCTATTACTGTCAGGGACAACAATATTGGAGAAGAGAATACAAAACAGAAGAAAGAGCACTGAAACTGCCCAACAAAGTACACTAACTTAATGTGAGTGCTGTTCTTATACAGAATAAAAGATGCACTAAACCAATAAATCAGTGTTTCAGGAACACAACTAAATTTGTGTTCAATCTGCCTCCATTCTGAAAAACCATTGCTCCTCTTGTCACATCAAATCTCTGGCCAAACTTTCAAGTCATTGGTTCTACTTTCTGAATAATTTATCTGAGACACCATCCTTTCCTACCATGCTCCAGAAAGTGATGTGAATTTAGTCCTGCCGTAGCAATGGAGAGGGAAAGGGAAATCAATTGCTGATTTAGGAAAAAAAAAAAAAAGTCTTATACGCTCTTTTGGTTGTTAACAAATTTTGTTAAAAAATGCTGTTAGGTTTTGCTTCAAATTTCTTCTTCCCTCCATGCTATAGAAATGCCTTTGATAGCAGTTCTCACTTACCTTGTCTACATTACCAACTGCTTATCAAATTAAGTTGCGATTTCCATACTATCCAGAAACCATATTAATACACAATTTCAGTGGTTAAGTGAAGCAAAATTTTAAATGTATTAAAATGAAATAAATTTAAAAACAGTTACCTTGTAAATGAAATGTAGCACTGATATCTTCTTTACCTTCCAGAATACAACTGTAACTTCCCATCTTACTGTTATCTGAGATCCACAATCTTAAAAAAAAGTTTCACCAATTTGCTTTTTGTTTGTATTTTCTTTCATCCTACAGCTATCAGGGATTGCTAATTAACATTCTAAAGAAACCAGCAGATATTAGTAGTGGAGCAAAGAACCTCAGAACATCTCTGAAAGACTGGGATATAGGTTAGCGCAGCTAGAAATAGCATGATATTTTTAAGAACACAGAAGCACAAGCACACCTGGAACATAAATACCATCTGCACCCTTGTTCTTCTCGGAAGGCTAAATACGTTTAAACAGCATGATCCACAGTTTACTAAATTAGACATGGTTTTAAAGAACTGGTATCTGATGAAGTCCAGGACCTTCTTGCTGACAAACAATACATTTCACAGGCACTTTGAAAAATATTTACATGGTTATGTTCATGTATATGGAGTAGCAGTTAAGTATCAGTACATTCTCATAAGATTTTCTATCATAGAAAAATTTTCTATCATAGAAAAATATATAGATTTTATTGATGTTAAGAAACCAAAGCTATACAGAAATCAGATGGAAACTACCTGGTTAAAATTAGCCCATTTACAGATTTTTAAAGTCCAATGGTAAATTGTATCAACTGAAGCAAGTTTTCTACAACATTTTTTTAATCTATATGGAGGCTCAAGAAGAGCTAAGAAAATCTTTAAAACAACCCAAGACATCTTTACTGCAAAGCTAAATTCTTCTCTCTCTCCTGCTAGTTATGAAGGAAAAGGAGTGGCCACCGATGCCTTTCAGACTTCTGCAAAGCAACAATGACATGGAAAAGAATGTGGAAAACTAAGTTGAGGTATTTTAGCAATCTCAGACTGAGATTATTACTTCATTTACTGAACAGAGTTACTGGACCTCAGAGAGGTGTGTACCTGTTGTTTTCTTGTCTTGAAGAAAACTTGTTCTCCAGCACTAGCAGAGGAGCAGCTCCTCCAGACTAGAGTTAACAGCAACCCTTCTCCTTCCCTGCAGCTTTAATATATGTCCATAATCAACATATTGATCACCATATTCTTCTCTCTTCTGATATATACATGATTAGTACTTGGCAGAGTATACGCATGTGATAATTCATTAAAAACTGCAAGTCAAACTGTAAAGAATGCTACTTACTGGATGCTCCAACTGTTTTCAGTTTTATTGACATGTCTGATTGTTTCATTTCCCCTCTTCCAAGTCACTTGGAGACTTTTTAAATTAGAGTATTCACTGTCCAATCTGCATGAAAGTTCAACTCCAGTTGCACTGTCCAAAGTGATATTTTTTTCCACGGAAGTACCAGAAACACCTAAAAGTTTTAAATATTGTTTATGAAAAACATACTACTTCATTCTGGGGGAATAAGAGATTCAAGGATTGTGTTTCACATATTCTGGATTACAGGTGGATATAGCATGCTACTGTTATACTTCCCAGGGTGGGAAAAAAAAAAAATTAGACAGCATTGGACAAATTTTCTTCAAGCCATAACCAAGTTACAATACACATCCATTACAAAATTACACTGTCACTCCATTCTGTAGATAAACTTCCTAGAGGGCTCTAATACAGACACATAGCTATTAATTTCACTGAAAGCAAGACAGACTTATGCTTCTACATAGTTTAACACAAACCAAAATACATTAAGTACTTGGCTGTCACCAGAGGGAACAATGTCTGCCCTGAGTTTGTACTTCCTTTCTGACTTCACATTTGATATTTAAAACAGGAGGATTTCTTGGGTTAAAAATATTAGTAAGTATATTAAAAGTTATATTAACCATATCAAAAAGAGACTTGTAAATAGCTATAAGCATGCAGGTTTTAGCCAGTTGCAGATTTTTTGAGATTATAGGTGATGTCCTGATGCTAGTGAAGTTGTCAATAAAATCCACAGCTAACACTCCTGGATCTGGCCTTTCATGCTACAGCTACTCAGCTTGAAACCAAACCATCTTCAAACTCAATTATGGCTAACTTTTCCGTCCTAGGAACATGCCAGTAGAATTAGAATGTGACAACATTCCACTACAGTAGAAAAGCCTGACACTTTGTTGCTTTTAAGCTCCAGGAACATAAAAATACTGTATCCAAAATGTAGCTTTCAACAGGAGGTATCTTCTCTGATCCATACAAAGTCTTTTATAAAAAACACCTCTTTGTAGCTATCAGTGACATTTTATTTTGTAACTGGCCTTTTCTTTCATGCCTTTTAGAAACAGCTGTGGTTAGTCCATCTGAATATTCCATGAAACTTTACTCCAGGCTTCACCCCAATTCTAGATCTACCCTGTAGTACTTGATGGTAAGGAAGTGCAACTGTATTTCACAGCTCAAATTCTGAGAGAAGCAGAAGTTTTAAGGTACAGCTCACTGACTTAGTAATTCAAGCCATACCTAAGAAGCAGCAATGTCTGGCTGAAGTTGAAGCACCAGATACTGCCATTAAATATTTGAACTTTATTGGGCCTGGCAGAGACACAGCCCACAGAACAGCATGCCCAGAACCCCAAGTCCAAGCCAAAATCCTACAGATCTGTTGAACTGCAGGTTAAACTTCAAGATGCAAAACCTCAGTATTTCATAGCAGAGCAAAGTCAGTTACTGCAACTCATTTATTAGTTACACTCAATAAATAAGCCAAGCATAACTCACTTTTTAGAGGTTGTTTATGATCAAAGTAACTTTACAAATTAAGTTGTTTTTACAGAAGCAGAAGTTGCACAGTCAGATTACTTACCCTGGCTAAAGCTAGAGTTTGTACCCTTTGAGATTATTTTTAAAATAATTGCACATTTTAAAATGAATGGAACATGAGAACTCCACGCTGTTGAAGATTAACCACTAGGCCTGGTATCTGGAGCATCTCTGTACCAAGAGTGCTTGTACCAGAACAAGAAATAGACAATACCTTAAGGTGCCTGCTGGAAGTAAACACAGCATAAATGCTGTGCAACTATATCCTTAAAACATCATACCAGTGCTTTGCAAAGGAGTACTAACTGTTCCCCTCCAATTGAGAGCAATTTCACTTAGATCAGTTTTTCCAGTCACCCAGGTAATTAGTTATAAATTATTATTTGGCAACAGAGAACATTACATCTACTTTAGGAAGAGGCTTATGTTGCTTTTTCTCCATGTTTTAACTCCTGTAATGCTGCAAAGTTGGAGACAGCATGTAAGCTTGTTAGGCAAGTGGAATCAAAAATGCAAAGAAATTGTCATTTTGTTTCAGGAAACAGATAACCACTAGTTAAAGCAACTAATAGCTTCAACAAAGTAAGACTCTCATTCTTCACTGCAAACTAGGTACTAGAACATTATACTCAGAGCAAGCATTCACCTTTTCTTTTACTGAGCTCATCACATGCCCACCATAAGCATCTTCATCAAGAAACTGCCTTCCCAGATACTTCTACAAGTCATAAAAAAAACCTGAGTAATCATATACATTCAGTATAACATAACTGGAAAAGAAAATAACATGCTCACCAGGTAGAAGTAGCTCATACTCCACAAAAGTGACGTTAGACACGTTCTCTTTGGTTGCCTGCTTGAACTCTTGCGTAGCAAGGTCTTGACCTAACAAGGTTGTGGGTGAAAGCAAAGTGGTAAGTTATGATCCTATAAAGGTAACCATACAGCAGTGCATCAATACAGTATTGCAATTGTTTCTTACAGTAATCTTAAGGGCAAAGGACCTTGCCAAGTGATAATTAGCATAGAGATCCTTTCATAAACCTTCTCTAGAGCAACAGCATTGTGTGGTTGTTGTTGTAGTAATTAAGACATTTTAGAAGACGGTTTGTAGCTTCAATATAACATTATTGTTGTGAATGTCAATCTAAAGAGGTCATAACTATAGAAGACATGTCTGTATAAAACATGTGACTGCTTTTACCAGGCGTAGATACATTGTGTCCAACTGTCAAATGATCTGAAGGACTCCTCTGGCTCTGCCAGTTGACAGTTTGTGTAGTTGTCATAGGCTCTGGAAGATGAAAAAAGCAAACATTTACAAAAAAAAATTAATTTTCTTTCAATTGGGCAATGAAGCAAAAGAAATAGCACTAAATGTTTTAAGCCGCATGTTTTACATGCTTGCAAAGTAATTTTATTGTCAGTTGTTTTATAATGCATTTCAGAAATATACAAACAGTAATGATGGATTGAATATGCCTAACCATACAGCATTATAGGATAAAACTCATTTTGTGGGAGGAAAAGGGCTTCATATCTGAAGTCCACAGATTGAAAAGGTTCTCACTCACAATTGGGAACACAGTAAACTGGGCTACTGCTTCAGTCTTCTGAGCAAAGCACTGGGTGGCAGAGTTGATCACTGTGCAGCAGAAGTAGTACCTCTGAAAGCCTACACCTTCTCATTATTAACTCCTCTTCACCTCCCAGTTTGGCATTTTATGCAATAAAAGTTCTTAAACACATGCTTCTGAGCCACAGGTGAGAGAATCTGGCTGTGATGAAGGAGCTCCATGCTAGTAGTTTGCATCTAAAGGAAGGCATGTGGCTTATGCTTGCTCAGAGACCAAGTTGCTGGCCCATTCCATGACACTGTTTTTCTTCATCAACACATCAGTTCACAATACAAGGAATGTTATGCCACAAGCAATCAGCTTATATCCTGGCTTGTTCCGTCTGTGCTTTCATACCACTCCTCATTCTTCAACCCTTTTATGTAAAAATAAACCTGTATACCAAGGTGGGTAATGCAGAAGAACAGAGCTTCAGGCGAGTTCATCTGGTGATTGTTGACAGTAGACTGCTGCGCATCCCAACTACTAGTCCAAAATAGCTTTCTAAGCAAAAAATTTACAGATCTGTCTCCTGGCACTAGAGAGTAAATCCTGTTCCTCTAGACAAAAGCACATGCAGGACTAGATGTTTGTCTGATGGAGAAACGAACTAGTCCAAGTGTTTACCCCTGACACAATAACTGAAGGTTGACAAGAGTTCTGAGAAATCTTTCTCCGTCTGTGTGTGGAAACACCTTGACAGCATGCCAAGAATGTCATGGATCACATGCGTTTGTCACTCTAGCACACACATCACCTTGTTTATTACTCAAATCCCTCAAGATGATACATTCAGAAGGCATTGGTGGCAGCTCATATGATAGTCGTCAATCCATAAAAAAAAAAATCTTAAAAATGTCTTGCACACAACTACAACCATCATACTAGCTTTCTTCTTCAATTCACATATCAAATGAGAGTAATCAGGTGAGGTCACATGAGGTAAAATAAAGTCTTTGTATAACATGTATGTGTGTACTTATGGAATGAGTTACTGAATCTATTTGCTGTGGCAACCCCGCTAGTTCTCTAGCACATTGTGCTAGAAAGTTCTGAAGATGAACGCCAGGTAAATAGCATTGTCTCCAATGACAAAACTAAAAATAGAATAACCTGCTAGAAGTTGCTTGAGTTCATGTATAAATATAACTTAGCCCATGTTTGATTTGCACTAATCAACATGAAGTTTGGTACAAAGCTGAATTCCTGCTTCTCTGATCTTTCTGGAGAAAGGAGACATGGAATCAACAATCATTGGTTTCTTTTCCTGACTGGATCTTCTCTTCTCCCTGTCAAAACCACAATCAAGGTCCAGAATACTGTGGAAAAAGTGTGGGGACAACAGAAGGGTTTTCACACATCCATAACTTAAAAACAGACAGGTGAAGATAGCAGGCACAGTAATGCAAGGGCATTATTATACACCCCACAAATTCAAGAGCGTAAGGTCAACTTCTCACATGAAAAATTATCCACTGTTAAGTGCTAGAACAGAACCTCCCACAGCAGTTCTTGTTTAGGAATTGTCCCTTCTCCAGAGTCATTACCATAAGGCAATAAGGGCAACAGATCATGCAGTTGGCAGATGGATAACTTTTTTGTCAGTCCTTGAGAGGCTTACAACACTTGCAGTGGCTTTAAAAGGCCTAAGTGATATTTATGTGTATTCCTTCCGAGAAGTCACAATCTTCTTTCAAAGGACTTCAGCATGAAAATGTAAACCCTGTGTGGTAACTTAGTACTACTAGAAAAAAGTATTTAGTTCTAGGTGTACATAAATAAAACAGTTACCAGGAGATGATTCATTAAGTCCAGCTTGCATCTTAGTCAGAGAGTTTGCCTTAGACTGACTGGTGTCTTGTGTTGTCATAGCTGGATCTAAAAAGAAAGCATCATTTAAAGAAATTTTATTCTCGCTCAGTTGAACCGAGTTAGACAAATCTAGCTCATTAAGAGAATTCAGATGGAACATACTTACCTCAGCCTACTAGCTCCATTTTATTCCTCCCAAGTTCTGAGAATATACAGCCAAAATTTTCAAGAATTACTTCTCATTAGTTCTTTAGCTTACTTTAGACAAGAAAAGATTAAAGAACAGAAGCAGAATTTATTTGACCTTCAATTTCTGTATACAGATCTTTCCTTGTAGTTAGCCTATAGTCAGGCAAAGCCATTCTTCAGAATATTCCAGCAGACAAAAAGATTCTATGACCTGTACTCCTGTCCTGTTTGTGAGCTTAGACCTCCACATCTTATGACACTGGCACTAGTTGATTATTTTTAAACACAGATTAACAGATTCACTAATAGAACAAGGACCTCATTACAACCTTACATGTCTACCCCATTTTGTGATGCAGCAAACAACCTCCTTTCCTTCTGTTATGACCTCAGTGAGCAAATCAAAAGGCATCTGTGTCCAATGTGGGTCTCACCAAGTAACACTAATTATTTGTTTTCCTTAATACCATTGCAAATCTCATTCTGCTCCTATACTACAGTTTTTGTAAGAGCCAGGCAAGATTCTAGGTTTTGCTTTATGACCTGGACTAGAGAAAAGACAGAAGGGGAAGAGGCAGAAGACTTGTTTAGTTGGAATGTTGCCATGTCACTCTTCTATTAAGAATTCAAGGTCTCCAGATGTTTCATAAAAATGGATAACTACACTCCTACCCCATTTCAGCACTATAGGCACAGATCACCTACAGACTCAACTGTCACCTCCAACACAGTTACTACAGATTACACCAGAATCACACCTAGTTTGAGCCATCTGTTTTCTCAGGTGGCCCATCATACTTCCACCAGTTTGGTTCAAGATTCAAACAAGATTATCAAAGGATATGATCTTAAAAAAAATTAAGTGTTAGTGGTTCTTAACAACAGACACTTAATTTTTCTTACTTTTCCACATAAGCCCACTGGTCCCTCCACCAAGTGTTCCCTCCTAGCCCTGCACCCAAGCAAAGAACTTACAAACCCTGCTCTGTCCAAGTATCTGCTGGCTCATGACCCAGTGCGTAAAAAGACTGAGTCTTATTCTCCAATTGACAGAGGTGCTAAGAGCAGGGAGAGTTACTATGCTTCTGATATTCATGGTAAGGTTGAAGAAAGGTCTATGAATTTTCATATCTGGAGGCATTCTACAGATGCCATGGATCACCTGACTGTCAGCTTAGTAGATGCCTCACCTGCACCATAATTAAAAGCCTCAAAGATGATAAATTTAGAAGGTACCAGTGCCAATCTGTACAGCCGCTCTGCTATCTCTCTGCAAGGAAAGCAGATAGCCTGCAACATGGTTTGCATACTAACGGGGGTCTCATCTTGGCTTTCTTACTCAATTCACATACAAATTGAAAAAAGGGAAAAAATTCACATGCAAAGCAGTCAAGTAGTATTATTTCTAGTCACCACTACTTCCACATCTTGGCTCCTACCTGTCCAATGTTATCCAGAGATAACATTGCACTGCTCTTTTCCTCCCATACACACCTGCTGAATAGCATCAGAGATCCAGATAACACTAATCATGCAGAGCTGGGTCATCAAGCCAGCCAGTGATATAAACAAGTCAAGTGGAATAACCTCCCAAACTACTGATTCACAGCTGCATGTCTTAGTCTATAATTGATTTAAATTAGACTTAATAAATAGCATTGTAGCTGCTGAGTTCATGTTGCCCTAATCTTTACTCAGGAAGGAGTAGGTGAGAGTATGAGGTCATTTTTTCTGCCTTACCTCTACTACCTACTGCAACTAATATTTGCAGAATAAAATGTGGATGTACCATACTTGTCATCACCAGAGCAATTACAGGCTTTAAAATCTATTTGCTCTCTTCTTCAGCCAGAAAAGCAGCTGATGAGGAAAAGGTTGGTATACAGTTTGGTCTAACATAACTGTTTGATGTAAATTAATTTAATATCAGTTTTACACTCTGTGCAAGCACACAAGCATTCAGTAGCATCTAAAACCAGCCACTGAACCTCATAGCATCCCTAGAAAAGGGAAAAAGCTTCACGGCAAGCTCTCCTGCAGCACCAGAGGAGCCACAGGAAGAACTTTCAAATGCCCTGATAGAAGCCCTTCCCTCAGGGCACACCACAAAAACCCAACCTGGAAGCAAGCCTGTAAAACACGAGGTTTATCCTCCGCTCATGCAACTCCTTGGTACCTTTAGGGACAGAAGTTGGGAGATGGAGTGGGTTTGCTTTTCGTAAAGGAATCTGGCAGCACATGCTGCCACTCAATTAAGCAACCACAACAGTAATCAAATGAAGTGGCAAACTCTGAAGAACAACATTGTGACACTTAAGTATTATCTTCAACTCGATACAGAATAAAAGTGACAGTTTAAATTTTTCAAAACAATTAACTAAACCTGACTGAAAGACAAGGAGTAACAGACTAATAAGAACTATCCTCAAGCTACTTATCTCAGAATAAAATCTGAGGCTTCCTGCGGTATCTACCTAAGCAGCTGCAGAAGGCTATGCAGCCCACCCCCCTGCAGCTCAGTCCTTGTGCATTACACGCTGAAAAAGCATCTAAACCACTGATGGCTGAAGTCACAGCAATAACATTCACAGGTACATTGGCAGAACTTTTGGCCTTGATAAGATATGATTCAGCAATCACATCTTGCACATCAAACATCAGTCTCATATTTCATTCCATTGCTATTCTGTCCAAGCCTGCAGTGCTTCAAAAACAGGAATCAGCACCAGAAAACCACTAGTTTTAGAACTAATTTCTTTTTTCCCTAGAAGGGGCTTGCCTGCTCATGAACTGCTGATATCCACTACAGAAGAATAGAGCCCAGAGGGCTCAAAGTCCCTCTTCCTTCGCAGATTTTAAGTGTCACATTTAAAAACACAATATAAAATCCTCCAAGGAACGCTCTTCACAGCTAGGCAGAATGATATTTCAGTAACACAATTTACTAGTTTGAGTTTTGTCAGGACTTAAGTAACACCTTACTCGATAGGGACAGGCAATAAAACACTACGCCTCGACCTCCAAGTCCCGCACCTGTGAGCGAATGTTACCCGCCCTCTGCGGTGCGGAAAGCGGGAGGCGGTGCTGGGCCAGC